GGACCTTATGCTTATGGGCAAGACATGTAATTTTTTTCTTTTGGCATGATTTTCTATGTCCTTTTTCTGCCGCCTGCTTTTCCACTGATGCAACATGACTTAAAACACAAAATAAACACCAATATAATTTAAGAAAATAAACAAATACCTGCATTGGATTTCCTCCCAAGAAGTGCTTCGTTTAACGTCGCATGGCTGGATAGTACATTCCCTCTTTGTTATGGGGGATACTTCTGCTTCCATACCTTGTTGTTTTTCTTTTCCAAAATAAGGCCCCCAACTGGTTCAGACATAGGAACTACATTGTTCCCTAATTCGCTTCCAACTTCTATCTCCTTACCTTGACGCTCCTTTTTCTTTCTCCTCTTGACTTTTTGAGTGAACGTTGGAGTTTTTATATTTTCTAGAGATGAATGAGACAATTCTACTTGAGAGATTATGATACCTGGAGGTGGTATTGGAAATTTTCTTTCTCCGTCTATTTTTATCATGCCAACTGAAGATTTATTTTTTTCACCACCATCTTGCTTCTTGATCTCAAACACTTTCAAAGTTATTTCCTCATCAAAAGATTTCAAATTCAGAGTACCTATTTCGATATCAACGTTGCATCCACTAGTAAGTAAGAATTGTCTACCAAGAATGATAGGGGACTCTTCATCTTCCGGAATGTCGATGATCTCAAAATTAACTGGAAAGATAAATTTGTCAATTTCTACCAGCACATCTTTAACTACCCCATAAGACTACTTTACAATGTGATCAACAAATTTTAAATTTGTCCCTATCTCACTTACCTTTCCAATACCAAGCTTTTGGAAGATAGATAATGGCATTAAGCTCACACTAGAATCTGAATCAATTAGGACCTTCTTGAAAGTTCTGTCTTTTATAGTGCAAGGTATTGCAATCAATCCAGGATCCTTCTGCTTGAGTGGGATTCTCCTTTCTGGCGAGATTGCACATAATTTCTCATCATCGGGTACCAGTCCATCTCCTATTGGTCTCTTTTTAGATAGTACCTCTTTCATGAATTTCTGATACATAGGCATTTGCTCGAGTGCTTCAAAGAACGACAGACTGATCTCTAACTTTTTGAACAATGTGAAAAATTTCTCAAAGTCTTTCTCTTTTGAATCTTTCTTTGTTACTCTTTAAGGATAAGTTAACTTAATCACCGATTTAGCCTCCTTTTTATTTTTATCTTTAGTTGGATTTATGGGCGGTATAACTTTTTTGGTTCTTTCTTCTCTTCCATCACTTTCGGATCCACTTCTATGACATGGTCATCATATTTTGCCTTATATTCTTTATCTTTAGCGACTTTCTGACTTCTTGTTGTGACAACATTAATATTCTCATGATTTTTTGGATTGCCTTGTGCTTGTAGAGATAAGTGTTGAGTTATTTATCCCATCTAACCCTCAGGATTTTTGATAGAAAATGTGGTGTTCCTTTGATTATTTTGAGTCTCTTCTTGAAATTAAACATTGTGAGCAGCCATCTTTTCAACGGCTACCTCCCAGTCTGCTTTCTTAGGAACTTGTTGTTGCTATTGTTGCTGAACAATCCCTTGATGATCCTTCTAGGAAAAGTTATGATGATTCTTCCACCCTAGATTATAAGTATTTGAATAGGGATTATTCTGTTTTAATAAATTTATCTCTTCAATTTGTTGCGGAGTCGCAAGACAATACACAGTATAATGAGGTCCACTACAAATTTCACAACTAACAGTTTGAGCAAGTTAAATTTGAGCTACTTGTTGGGTACCTATATTCATTGCCTTTAGTTTCTTTTCTACTTCTGCAGCCATTGTATCTTCTAACCTTATTTTACTTGTTTCCAGTTTCAGATCAATAACTCCTTTCGACTTTCTTACACACCTGTCATACAACTCTAAATGCTAATTTGCAAATATTGCTTCTATGATCTTCTTGATACCAGTGGTTGTTGATAAATTAGCTGAGCCACTGACTGTTGTATCAATTAACTTCTTGGTCTTAATTCTAAGACCATTAACAAACATCTGCATATGTTTAGTTTGATCCGTATTATGAGTAGGACAAGCCACTAGGATTCTTTTTAATCTTTTGTAAGCATCTCTCAATGACTCACCCTTTTTCTGCTTAAAATTCAGGATATCATATCTTTTTCTCAAGAACACTAACGCTGGGAAATACTCATTTAAGAAATTTGTTTCCATCTCTTCCCAAAAAGTAATACTGCCAGCTGGAAGAGAATAAAACCACTCTTCTGCATCTTCAGATCAAGTGAAATGAAACATTCTCAACTTTTTTGCTTCATCAGTGTGCCCATCAATCTTTAAGGTGGTACTCATAGTCAGAAACCTTTGCATGTCTTTAGTATCATCTTCATTTACCTTTTCAGTGAAAGGTCTCTTATAGATTTGAGTAACTGTGCTCGAATACAGTTTAAAATTTGGCACATTCACCAGTTGTTTTACATTTGTCAACCTATCACCCAGTGCATTTGCCCTACCATAATCACCAAGGAGTCTCTCAGGTGTCGGTGGATTTTCAACCATAGGTTCTTCCTCTGATCCTGAATCTGAATGAACTAAGATAGCTTCTTCTTCAAACTCCAGTCTGGCTAATCTAGCTTGTCTATGCCTTGCGTGAAAGTTTCTTTCAATTTCTGCGTCAAAAAGAAAATAAGTTGAGGGTTTTCCTCGTATACAAATGTCAGACGCAGATTAGGAGTAACAAAACAAAAACAATAATAAATAAATTGAAATAAAATTTTAGTTGAGGAGCAACAAAATTTCAAATTAGTTAATATTAAAACTCTATATTTTGGCAGTCCTCGACAACGACACTAAAAACTTGATCGGTAAAATAACAAGTGTATTATTTTTGCCAATATAATAATTTTCATATTCCAAATTTGCCCCACACTTCATAATTTATGAGCGCCATTTTTATTTCGAATAAGCACAATATCCTATTGGGTAGTAAAGTGAAGTAAGGAGTTACATATGCATTGAGTTCGAATCCCATATTTTCCATTATTATTGTTTTTTTCTCTTCCTTATTTAGTTTTCTCACTATTTCACTTTTATAATTTTTAACTTTTTTATTAAATTGTTATTATTTTTTCGCTCACTTCTTTATTATTATTTTTTTTTATAGATTTATTCTCAAAATTATTTTTCACTATAATTATGTTTAGTTATTAGAAATATGAGATTTATTTTCGTTACTATCAATGCTATTATTAGTTGGTATTAGTTAATGTTACTATTACTACTGTTTCACTTTTAGAATAGATTTATATTATCTTCATTATTATTTTTCCATTTATAATTATATTTATATCAAAAAAAATTCGTATCTTTTTTTCCTTCCCTAATTTCAAGTTGCGTCAGTGAAAAGAAAGTATAACATAAACAAATTAAATTCATTTGTGAACTAAATCACACAAAATCTTCACCATCCCCAAACTGTGTGGATTGAATCGAAAAAAATCATAAACAAATTGAACAAAATCAAATCTTCACATTGAGTGTTTAGCTGCTATAGATTTAAGTTTCAAACAAATCAAAATCTTCTTCTAATTTCCATTAAATATTCAATTTGTCTTTTAATCAAAACTTGTTGAATCAGATCCAAATCACCAGGATTGTGTAATCTTCTAAAAAGAGCAATTGTTTTCCAATCTGTATTCATGATGTCAATCATATACAAATCTTTGTAGCAGTTACTTTTAATCAAGGATTAATCAATCAAAGCTAAAAATTAAATAAAATCCAAACTTTCTAATAAGCAGTATCTTAATTGAGAATCAAACCATTTTAGCTGCATCTCACATAATTAAATCAAGACCAAGGAGAACATAAACAAAAAACTGATAGATTTTGATAAATTAGTTAGAGAAACTATTTTCTAGATCTTCGTTTAATCCATTAGATAAACATAAAACAAGAATATGAAATAGAAATGCAAAGGAAAAAAATGAGTAATTGTTTTCTGATTCATGAAATGATAGCACTAAGCTGTTTAAATACAAGACAATAATAAAAACCCTAGTACATGAAATGGGCCTAGCCCAACAACAAAACACAACACAGAAATAAATAACTATATTTATTTGGGCACATCATCCTTAAGTCAGTTGGGCTTTGTTGTGATTCGCATGGGCCTGTTAACAATACTATCTGGCCCAAAACAAACCTTGTCCTTAAGCTTATTGGATAATATGGATTTTGGATGGACAAAAGAGGAGGCCCGTCGTGTGGATTTCGGCCCAACTGAATCAATAGGCAGCATCTGGTTTTTGGAGGAAGCGGAAGACAACTGGTGATTGGAAAGTGGAATATTGGAACAAATTGAGTCATAAGGAGCAATTGCATGTGTATCTTGGGAACAGGTGGTCTTTGATAATACAGTGGGCGGTGGGGACATAGCATTAGACCATTTACGATGGTTGAAAAACTCAACACCCACTTTTTCAACTCCCAACACTCCACATCATTTTCTCTTTCTTCCACCTAATAACTCAACACTCATTCAACTTTTACCCTCTCTAATGGTTTTTCACTCAACACCATATCCCACCACTTTTTATTTTCATATTCTTATTTAAATTTTATTTTTATTTTTATGATTACATAAAATTACAATTATCGATTAAAATTAAATTAAAATAATAAATACTTAATAATTTATTTTTTAATTTTTTGTAATAAAAACAAAATTGTTGGGATTTTGGTTACATGGAAAATTAGCAGAATTTTGAGTGTTAAAATGATTATTGGGATCCATTTCACTAAAAAAAAGACACTTAACTTCAAAATAAACACTAATAATAAAATTAAGATAGTGAAAAACTTAGTTTTTTTTCTGTGTCCAAATCAAATGAACCAAGTCTCTATTTATAGAGGAAAAAAAATCATGAATTTTGGTAAAAAAAAAAATAAAAAAAAAATTAATTTACAACGAAATAATTGAGTTCAAAGTATTAAATGGATAAAAATCTGGTCAGCCAATCAAGCACAGCCACGTGGCAGCTTCAATTGTGTTGAGTTTTCTCAACACCTCTCTCTTCCAACACACACTCAACACCTCTCTCAACACCCATTGGAGGAGATTTTGCATGTTGAGTTCAAACTCAACATACCCATTGCACATGGTCTTAGTGGTGTCACGTGAATCAAGGATACTTATTTTGTTAGAAGTACTTGACTGTTGAGATTCACTTCTCATATTTTCCTCTCTTAACTTTTCACAGATAACTTTCTCCGAATCCCTTTGTTCTCTTAATCGTTTTGTCTCAGTACTCTTCTTCACTTGGGTGCTTTGAACTTCCAGATCTGGTGATGAAGGACGCATAATAACTGCATGCAAATCATCAAGTTCTTGTGGAATGGGTGTAAAGTGGGCTATGGGATCATTTCCATGGTAGATCTGAAGTTGAGAGACATGGATAACAGGATGGATCCGCAATGAAGGTGGAAGCTCCAGTTCATAGGAGACGGCACCGATGCGGCGGTGGATCTTGAAAGGTCCGAAGTATCGTTTGGCCATCTTTTGAGAAGTCTGCTTATAGACGGTGTTCTATCTGTAAGTTTGAAGCTTGAGAAAAACCTGATTTCCAGTTTCAAAGGTAATGGAGCGACGTTTCTTGTTACTTTGTGCTTCCATTTTGTGTCGATTGAGCTCTAGATTTTGTTTTAGCAAGGTTATGATTTCTTGTCGTGTTTGCAGGTGAATATCTAACTCAGAGATGGTAGACGAACCTTGCTAATGATGCGGAAATGGTGGTGGCGGTCGTCCATAAAGGGCCACGAAGGGTTTCATTTTGATGGATGAGTGATACACAGTGTTGTGTCAGTATTCAGCCAAATGTAAGTAGTTAAACCATTGATTAGGATGATCACTTGTAAAACAATGCAAATATGCCTCCAAACATCTATTAACAACTTTTGTCTGCCCATCGGTTTCAGGATGATACATGGAGCTAAATTTCAAGATGGTGCCTTGAACTCGGAAGAACTCTTTCCAAAAGTTGCCGAGAAACAAAGGATCTTGATCAGAAATGATCGAGTGAGGAACACCGTGCAAGCAACATATTTCAACAGAAAAACGTTTGGCAAGGTCGCGAGTAGAGTATTTTATTGGCAAGGCAATAAAGTGTACGAATTTTGTCAACCTGTCACAAATAACCCAGATAGTTGTGTGACCAAAAGATGAGGGTAAGTGGGTAATGAAGTCCATGGAGATTTTTTCCCAAACGAGGTTTGGTACTGGAAACGGTTGAAGTAAACCTTGTTTCTTTGTAGTAATGTACTTATTTTGTTGACAGATTGTGCAGTGTTTGACAAATCTTTTCACATCTTTATAAATACCAGGCCAAAGAAAAGATGTTGATAAACAAGCAAGAGTGGGTTGCATACCCGAATGGCCATCACTAGGAGTTGAATGATATTCTGTGATGATAGCTTGACAAAGTTCTATAACTGGAGATATGTAGATCTTGTCCTTATAGTAAATGATTCCTTGTTTTATTTGAAAGACTCCTTGCATTGATGCATCTGAGAGAACTTTGTCACTAAAGTTCTTGCCTTCTGAGTCATTTTTGTAATACTCTTGCAGCTATTTCAATAGGAGTGGAACTGGTGAAGAGAGGGACAAGAGGAAAGATTTGGATTTGATGCGGCTCAGGGCATCTGCAACTTGGTTTGCTTTCACAGGTTTGTAAAAAATCTCAAAATCAAAGCCTTGCAACTTTGTTGCCTATTTTTGTTGTTCTGGAGTCTGAATAGTTTGGACTAACAAATTCTTTAAGCTCTTTTGATCAGTATATATGTGAAAATGTCGACCTATTAAGTACTGGCACTATTTCTTCATAGATTCGGTGATGGCGTACATTTCACGGACGTACATTGAAGCAACTTGTAATCTGTTGCACAACTTCTTGTTGAAAAAGGCCAAGGGATGACCCTGTTGGGATAAAATAGCACCAACAGCAACCGCTGAAGCATCGATCTCCAAAATGAAGGTTTGGGAAAAATCTGGCAAGCACAAGACTGGAGTTTCTGTCATTTTTGTCTTCAATGTTGTAAATGGTGTCTCAGCAGTTGGACTCCATAAAAATGTAGTGGGACGTGATAAATTGGTGAGAGGGGCAGTGAGAGAGGCGTAATGACGCACAAATGTGTAATAAAAGTCGGTGAGGCCTAAAAAACCCCTGAGTGCTGTGAGTCATGATGGCCTCGGCTAGTCCAAGATAGCTTCAATTTTTTCCAGATCTGGGGTTACGCCATGACTGGAGATAATATGACCTAGATAATCAATAGTAGGAACAACAAAAATGCACTTTGATAATTTGGCATAAAGTGAGGAATTGTAAATTAAAATATCGTAAAAGAAAAACTAAAACAAATCGTCTGAGGTAAGGGCACAGTAAGTCATTCATCATCGATTGAAAAGTACTAGGAGCGGTAGTAAGGCCGAAAGGCATAATTAAGAACTCGTAGTATCCGTCAAACGTACGAAAAGTTGTTTTATGAGTATCCTTTGGAGCCACTCGAATCTGGTGATATCCGGAACGAAGATCAATCTTAGAAAAAATAGTTACATCACCTAATTCATTAAGAAGCTCATCTATTGTTGGGATGGGAAAAAGATCACGAATTGTGACCGCATTTAGGGCATGATAGTTAAGACAAAAACGCTAAGAGTCGTCTTTTTTCGTACTAGAAGAACAGGGGAAGAATAAGGATTGTGGTTGGGTTTTATAATACCCTCATGAAGCATGTCTTGAATTATAGTTGTCATAGCCTCTTTTTGGATATGGGGATATCGGTAGGGTTTAACGTTAATTGGGGTTGTGTTTGGGAAAAGGGGAATATGGTGGTCATGAGGGAGAGATAAGGGTAGGCCTTGGGGGGTTTAAAAATGGTCTCATAGGATGATAAAATGGTTTTAATCTGGATGGGAGTTAAGGGTGGTAGGGAACTTATAAAAGAGTTATGGATAGGTGATGAGGGTAATTGAGGGTCATGAGAGGGTTGATAAAGAAGTAGGTGGATGGAGGCAATTGAATTTGTGTGTAGTAGGTGACAAAATTGATTGTAGGAAGATGTGGATGGAATGGATTTAGGGTCACCCTTGAGAGTTATCTCAGTCTGGTTATAATTGAAAGAGATCTTAGGGATTGAAAAATCAGCAAAAAGGGGTCCAAGGGTTCTCAACCATTCCATGCCAAGAACGGTATCTGCCCCTTCAATAGGAATTAAGTGGAATGGGATTATGAATAAGTTGTTTTGAAGAGTAATGGGGATCTGTGGGAAAAGTCTGGAACATGATAGTTTGGAACTGTTACCAACCATAACTGAGAAACTGGGAATTGTTGTAGTGGGTATTTTTAAGTGGTGAGCAATGTGAGGCTGTAAAATGTTATGTGTGTTGCCGGTATCTATGAGGACCGTAAGCGGAAGACCGTTAATTAACCCTTTGAACTTTAGAGTCTTAGGGGAAAAGTGCCCATTAACGACCAGAGGAGAAAGTTGAAAATAAGTGTCCTGTAGCTCTTGTGATGAGGAATCAATAATCTCAGTGCTAGATATAGAGGAATCAAGCTGGACAGAATCGTCATCATCAATCATCAACAATAGAAACTTTCTTGTTGTACATCTGTGGCCCGGAATGAATTTGTCATCACAATTAAAACACAAACCTTGTGCGCGACTGTAATATGGTGGGAGAACTGACTTGAGATATTTGTGTTTGATCGCAATTGTTGCGGATAGTAAGAGTCTCCATCGAATTTTCTTTTATCCATTTAAATGAAAGGGTGAAAAGAACAGGAAAGACCTTTGAGATTATTTTCTTGAGTTTGGGGGGTAAACTATGAAAAGGGAAGGTGTTAGCACATTTTTCATCCATTGTTATCTATGGGCTCTTAATTTCTTGCTAGATCATTGCTTTTGTTTGAAAGTGTGCTTTGTGGTTGGTTTTGAAAGTATTTTTGAAAATCGTATTCGTTTAGGCTAATTTTGTAATGATTCTCGTCTCTATAAGAATGTATACAAAGTGTGAGACTTTTGAAAATATTTCATGTTTTTGAAAGTGTTTAGCGTGTTTAAAAGGTGTTTATGTTTGAAGATAAGCAAGCAATTAAGAACTATTCTACCTACTCAAAAGTCTTTGTTCTTTTCATCCTCCTTTAGATGTTGTTATCTTACCATTGATTGGTAAGGAGCTCTATCTTTGGATGTAAAGGGACGGACGTGAGTCATCGTATAGTTATGATAGCAATGTTGTGAGATATCTTAGCATTTCTTTTGAGGGACTAAGATCATTTATAAGACAACATTTGAAGCGTCATCGAGGGACTATGATCTTGTATTTTTTTATTGTTTTTGCTAAGATGTCTCACATGTATAACATGACCATTTTTCATAAGGCAACAAGTAGAGTTAACCTTAGAGGTGCAAGTGTACAAGTGTTTGTATTTCATGCTTTATTTATCTTTGAATTAGTGTTTTCTAAGCATTGATTTTATCTTCCCATATAAATCCTAATTACTAGCATTTATATGAAAACGATAAATTGTGAAGAGTAAATATCCTACGCTATTACAATCACTTAGGGATAGGGTGTACAAATTTATAAATGGGGGTTGTAAGAAAATTAATGTCCTAATTATCTATCACAATCATATTGAAATAATGTACAAGAATTGAAATATAAAATAGTTTTGCTTTGTTTTTGTTAAGAGAAGAAATAAATTTGCTTAAGGAAATGTTTTTAGTCTTTTTTGTTTTAGAGGAAATAAAGCAAAGCGTATGAATATAAAATATTTTTGGTGTTTTTGATTAATGAAAATAAAAGTGATGATAAAAATAATAAGAGAAAAAAGAATCAGAGTCAGCACATTGTTGAAAGGATAGAAATAAGAAGGAGCAGAAATTCTGACTCTGGTGCGCTGCAAATCAGAGAGAAAATGTTAGCAGAAATGGGAAAGGCTAGAAGTTTTGGATCCGGACGCACTAAAGTTTCGGGGTTTCTAAGAACAAAGGAAAGCCTAGAAGTTCTGATTGCTGAGATAACCTAGAAGTTCTGGTTATTGAGAGAGTCTATAAGTTTTGGTTGTTGAGAGAGTCTAGAAGTTCTGATGCAACTGGAAACCTAGAAGTTATAGTGTTACTGGAAGGCTAGAAGTTCTGGTAATGGGCCAGTGAGGTGTCAATGCTATTGGATGGGAATATCTAGAAGTTCTGGTCCAGTAGTATTATTTTGAAAAACAAATGGGAGGGGGTTTATCTAGAAGTTTTGGTCCAGGAATATTGTTTGACAAATAATGGAGTAAAATGTCGAGAAATTAACATAAAAAAGGTGTTTCTGGGGCTAGAACTCAGGACCCTTAACACTAATGTCTTATGCGCTCACTCTCTACCACGGGGGTGACTGTACATCCGGTAATAGAAGCAAAAACATAAACATATATTACAAAGTAAGTTCTAATGATGAACTTCATCTTCTTCTTTGTGGCAGCCAGAGTATCTGCAACTTAGTCATTTCTCAATAAAAATGGAAAATGCAAACATAGAAGTTATGGCAAATTTCAGCATGATTTCAGAAATACAAAGCATCAAAATTGTAAACCAGAAGCAAGCATGAATTTTGCTAATCCTAATTCTGAACCCTAATTTCCTCAAGAAGTTCTGATATGAAATTCTCTCTACTTAGGTCATATAAATGAAATCTATAAATATGTACAGAATCAAAACTATGATATCTACATTGTATCTTTGAAAATGCAAGTCTAACAATGCCTAAGTAATAAGATAAAAACCAGAAGAAACTTACCTTGCAGTTGGAAATTATTCTGTGAATTAGAATCTGGTTCTAATTGCTGTGATGTTCTGGTCAGCTTCCTCAAGTTCTCAGAAAGCTAAAGCAACTCTTAACTTGAGCTATGAATGGTGGGAAAGTTCTGGAGCAGTCACGGTGCAAAGTTTTATTTTTTGAAACAGAGAGTGGTGAATACTGTTTTACAGTTTGAAAACAGAAGTTGGGAAAGCTTATACGTGTATACTAGAAACTGTATGGATGATTTGATCAAGAAATACACAAGAAAAATTAGAGTTTGGATGCAAAAATCAGAAACTAGCAGGTTTCGTGTTTGGGCTGCAGTTTCAAGTTCTTTGGAATTTTCAGCAAGGTTTCAGGGCTTTTTCTAATCTTTTTCAATCCTCCTACAGTTTTCCAATGAAGTTTAATTTATAGGCAAAGGATTTAGAAGCTTAGAGAAATCAGGAGTACAGTCATCATGTGTTATGGATCGCTGACTTGTTTTTGAAGCAAGTTTAAACAAACATGGTTTCAAGGAAAAGTAGAGTGGATAGCAGCTTTAACCATGCCTAATCTGAGTTTGTAGGCATGATTTATAGAGAAGTACACTCAGAAGCAAAAGTAAAGTATGGGCCCAAAAATAAACTTTGTACAAAAGTTTACTTTCCAAGGACAACAGTGGTACTTTCATGCCACACGTGGGAAGATCTTTTGGGTAAAGGTTTAAACATTGGGATAAAGACACAAAAGTGGGTGTGAGCATTAAATGATGATGAGATTTAACAAGCAAGAAGACCTGCAACCTGTGATTATGCAACCTAGCTTGAAACTGGATCAGAAGTTCAGCATGAACGTAACTTGGATTAAGAACAAATGTTCAACTTCTGATCTTTGATTCTCCCTGCTCCAGCATGATCTGAAGGAGTTCTCAGACTTTTCAGAAAGCTTGTAACATTCTTTGTAACCCCTCTTTGAATCTCTTTTGCAAACTCTGACTGAACCTACGTGAAACCTGACCCAGAAGTTTTAACCAAATTCTGACTTGGAAATGTTCAGAATTTACTAAGTGTTTTAGTTTCATGGACGTGTCTTCAAAGATTTATAACTTGAAATCCCAGCATTTCTAGGAGAAGTTCTATTCTGCAATGTCTTAGATCTTATTGAGATTTATAACTCTTGTATCAGAAGTTCTTCCTGAGTCATCTTGCATCATGATGAAAATCTGATTAGAAGTTCCGAACTTATCATATTTTCTTAACACTTAGAAAAATTTCTAAATGTTTAGAACTTTTATTTTTCCAAAGTAATCTTGACTTTTGATTTTCTTGGTGAAACCACTTCATATTCTAACATGTCTTGATGAAATATGATTCTTGAAACTTGATTTTGATCCAAAAGTTAAAGTTTGACTTTTCAGTGTGCATTTTGACCATTTTGCCCTTGTGTCAATTCCAAACCTAAATTGATGTATTAGTGCTGCAAACTTGGTTCATGGAAGATCTTGTGAGAAATTTCTTGAGAAATGAGAGGGAAAATTTTGAGGTACAACAGCGACGCTCTTGAAGATGGACATTTGAAAGGCGTCAGATTAGAAATTTAATGGGTTGTTGTGGTGGCTTATTGTTTGGGCTTGGGGTAATGGCAATGGGGGTGGTAGGGATTGGTTTGAGGGTTGCGGAATAGGGTGGTAGAGTAGGTGTAAGGGGGTTGGAGCGGAAAAACTTTGGGGGAAAACCTTGAAATTTAGGTTTGAATCTTGTATTTTTTATTCAATTAATTTGGCAAGCCCAATGGCTTGAGAAATGGAAACATATTTGTGAATAGCAATTTCATTTTAAATAGCAGGTGCCAAACCTGAAATAAAATAATTTAGGATAGCTTCATGAGTTAACCCCACAACTTGATTACCTAGTTTCTCAAATGCATCTTGATATTCCACAACTGATCCCATTTGCTTTAGTTTGAACAATTCTGCTTGGTGATTAACATAGGTTGACGGACCAAAATGTAATTCCAAAGCTCTAGTAAAAGAGACCAAATCTAACAAAAGTTAGTTTGGATGCATCTATTTAAATCAACATAATGCTTCTCCTTTCTTGTAAAAAGACATCATTGACAATCTATTTTCTGGTGGTATTTGGTAGAAATTAAAAAAATGTTCAGCCTGGAATAACAACTCTAAAGGGTTTGAACCATCAAATAGGTTAAGTTCCAATTTATGAGTACGGAAATGGGGCAAATGAGTAGTTTGGGGGACCTGGTTATATGGAGGTTGTTGTGAAAATTGATAGTTAAAATTCTGGTTGGTTGTGTATCCAGTTGGAAAGTAGGGTGGCAGATAGGATTGTTGGGTGGAGATCATTTGTGAGAGATGGATGTATGTTGTGAATGATGGTGGAAAAACAGTGGGAATTCTAGGGATTGAGGAGACAGTGGTATGTAATGGTGATTGGTAATAAATAAGGGTAGTTCGAGTTGGGGTTTATGAAAGTGTAACAAAATGGAAAACTACTGTAGTATTCATGGGGACAAAAAAGTTTTTTTGTGTGATACCTGATGATGATAGTGTAGCTTGCGCAAAGGTAGTTTGCTGCTCTCTTTGGTGGACTAGCTTGGTCAAAACCGTCATAAGAGCATCATAACGATTTTCAACCACATTTTTCTCGGTCGCCATTTGTGAGTTGAGTTTTCCAATCGTTTCTCGAAGATCGGAAGTCATTGAGTTGAAGCGTTCATTAATGAGTAGCTTGTTTTCCTGTAGAGCGTTGTTGAGGTGTAGCTGGGCTGTGTGAAGAGCTTCTTCTATGCTTTCTTTAGAAGAAGGATTTGACGGTTTGGGAGGGGCCGTGAGGGTAAGGAATGAAAGCACCAATTGATAAATTAGTTAGAGCAACTATTTTCCAGATCTTGGTTTAATCTATTAGATAAACATAAAACAAGAATATGAAATAGAAATGCAAAGGAAGAAATGAGTAATTGTTTTCTGATTTCTGAAATGACAGCACTAAGTTGTTTAAATATAAGATATTAATAAAAACCCTAGTACATGAAATGGGCCTAGCCCAACAACAAAACACAACACAAAAATAAATAACCATATTTATTTGGACACATTATCCTTAAATCGGTTGGGCCTTGTTGTGATTCCCTTGGGCCTGTTAACATATTTTCAAATGGAGGTCACAGTTTCGAAAGAGATTTAATCAATCTTCCATTACACACTAATTTTCAATCACAATTATGGTCCTCTCTAATAAACCATAAAGGATTCAATCAAGAATTAATTTCTTAAACCTAATATCTAACTATAAAGGCATAAGAAATTTGAAGTTTTAGGGAGGGAGTAAAAACTGTTTTGGAGGCCGAAAATTCTCAGTCGAAGAAGCAACAATCTCCAACGCACCGTCGCGGACAGCCTGGCCGATTTCTGTGCAAGACATGATCGGAACCACCGTCGCCATAGATCTCGATCGAACCACCACGAGGGACTGCACTAACATACAATATCGTCCACCACCGCCGTTTAACTCTTCACACCCAGGTTGTTTCATTTGCTATGTTAATTTTACTACACAACCGTGATAATCTCTTTGGGGTTTAACATGGTGGTTTTTGTTATGTTCATGGTAGAGAGAGAGGGTGAATTGAAAGCATGTGAAACAAATACCTTTCTCAATGTGTAATCGATTAAGTGTAAATATCCATTACCCGTAAATAAAATTTCTAAACATATACTAAATCCAAACAATTTTTATAATCAAATTCATTATTTTTTACACATAATAGGATAGGTGGATTTTACATCCACTATATTCTCGAATAATCGATTGATTGGTTTAACGTTTTACCGGTTGATTATTCAAATTAAATAAAATACATTTAAAAATACAAACAAATCAAATAAATTTCTTCTTCTAGCGCGATTTAATTCGAATAAAGATCAACTCTTCTTCCATCCACATAATGAAAATATTAAGACAACTAACCCATAAAATCATTTTTTTATTAACTTAATAAAATTCAAGATTATTTTCAAAAAATGATTAAATAGCATTGTCTTCAAATGAAACTTCGAACTGCGTCTACGATCACTCATTTTCTCAAACCCAAACAAGGTTCAAGGATAATTCGAAAGCAATATTAACCAATCCTATAAAAAACACTAACAAACACTACGAATTACGAATTTGGACTCAGATTCTTCGCAAGGCGAGTCCCGCTATTAAAAAATTAAACCCCTTTCTTAAACATATGAAAACAACAACTGTTAAATAGAAAATTTCTGATTTACCCTACGACCTAAAATAGGATGCCCCTTGAGAAAAAGGGAGATGAAGGGTGCCTAACACCTTCCCTTCATCTAACCAAGTCATGAATTTAGAATCTCTAACAATCAGGGTTACCCATTATTTCCCCTTCCTCAGGTTAAAAATTAATGCTGACGACTCTCGTGTTTTTTGTCGGTTACGACAGTAATAGTAGAGATTTTTCCAAATATCGATCTCAAAGACTGCAAATTAATACAAAGTTTATTTTCACTTCAATTAAACAAAAACTATAGTTTGGGTTTTTTTAAACGTATGAAATAAATTACGAATAAAAATAATTAAAAATGTGAACGATTAAAACAAATATGAGCAGTATGCTAGAGATGGTGTATGACTCGCTTATGCAACGACTCCGATGATATAGTGCAACAACGTGTTTGAATTCATTGATTACCAGTTCTTAAGGGTAATCACTCCAAAGTCCTTTGGAAGTAAATCTTTAATCAATCAACCTAATTATTATGTCCATAGAAATTTACGGTTGAAATCAAGCATTATACTATCAACAATAATCTGATTATTATAGGGTATCCCTAGTCCTATGTGATATCTACTATAATATATTTTCAAATAGATCATAAACAATGGTTGTCCAGCTTAATTGTATCACACACATCAAGCTTCATTTGTCTGACAGAGAAAGCAATAAGAATAGTGAGAAAACAAATCAAGTATAAAACAAACCAAATTGCTAATGCACTCATATAATCGCATTCATTACAACTCCAAATCAGGGACACCCCATAATATTGGGAGGTTTAGCTACTCATAATAACAAAGAAAAACATAGTATTAAATGTAGACATTACAGATTAATGATGGAAATTAAGTCTTCAATTTCAAAAGCTCATGAAAATCTTGATTCAAAGCATAAATTTGAGTTCTCCAGCCTTCAACAATTTTCCTTGCTATAAAAAATTGTCCAACCTGGTGAAAATTGTGTTTCCAGGTTAAATAGACACGTTTTGGGCTTCCTATGTTTTTGGGCTTCATTACGCATATGGACCCAGACATTACGCGTAATGCCCAGTTTCCTGCCTCAGTAATACGCGTAAGCCTGACAACATATAATGTAACGTCCCTTAATTTAATTAATTATTTAATTAAATTATTTTTGGATTATTTGTTGAAAAGTTGTGAGATGTTGATAATTGTTGGTATAAGTTTATAGATTATTAATTAATTAATTAGTTATTTAATAAAAATTATAATATTGGAATTAATAGAATAATTATGTTGGGCTCATGTTATTGGTTGGAAGTAGTAAAGTGGGAGTGTGTAAGTTAGGCCCAATAGAATTGAGGTATAAGGTTAAGCTTGAAGTAGTGAGAAACACAAGAAGGGGGGGTTGAATTGTAAAACTGAAAATCAATGCAATGAACAAGATATTTTTATCCTGGTTCGTTTGATCTCAAACTACTCCAGTCCACCCGTCAAGGTGATTTCGCCTCTCTCCAACGAGGTCTTAATCCACTATATTCAACTGAATATTACAGACTGCTTTAACAACTGCTAAAGCCTTCTTGATGCAAACCACAACCCGGTTTGTCAAGGAAACACTTTCTTACAAAGAAGATAAATCTAAGTGTGTGAATGTTTTCTACAAAACTGTATCACAACTGTGATGTATACACAACTTAAAGCTTAGAAATTAGATTGCTAAACAATGATTGAATATGAGAATGTGTAGTGTTTAGCAAACTGAGAGAAGGAAGATTTTGATCAACTTTTATGCGTGTAAAGATTTTGGAGAGCATTAGCCAATTCAATCTTCAAAGTCTTGTTTATATAGCACTGAGATGTTGAACGTTGGAGCAATATTCTTGATTCAATGCTATTAACAAACTTTCCTTATCGAGCAGATCTTGTCTGGAATGAGGCCGTTGGTATTAATTTGCTTTCAATGCACAGTACCGTTGCTTACTTAATGCAAGTTCTGGCTTGGCTCATTCTGACTCTGCTTAGCTGCTGATGAACTGTTGTGTTTCTTTATCAGAGTGTTGAGCGCAGTTTTGTTCATCAGGCTTCAGCATATACGTGAGTTAATCTTCTGATTCTGACATTCTGATATGGCAACTTCTGATGCTGATGTCAGGAACCAAAATTCTGATGCTGATTAGGTGTGATCTTGCTTATATCAATCAGAGTATCTGCAAATCAGAACGTAATAATTTAGGCAGCAGATAGTTCATACATGAATCATATAAATAATATATCTTTTCACTTTGTTATCATCAAAACTTAAACATAGGGTAGTAGATTCAAACTTTGTTCTAACAATCTCCCCCTTTTTGATGATGACAAAAACTAGATATTTTTAAATGAAAATAACGTGAAAAGGTATCAGAGAGATGCATCAGAGTAAGAGGTTATCAAAGATAAGGGGTAAAAAGATATCAGAGTTGAGAGATACTCCCCCTGAGTTTATTGCTTCCCTTTGATTACAAGTGTTCTTCAGGATCAGATCTTTTTGCCTTTCTTTGAACATCAGAGTATCAGAGTCTTTGACTATCGGAAGCTTTAGATCAGCATATCAGAGCAGAGCTTCAGATCAGCGTATCAGAGCTTTTCTTGTCAGAGCTTTGCTTTGGATCAGAGTATCAGAGCGGATCAGAGCTTCATAGCTTTTAGTCTTCAGAGTGTCCAGGAGCTTCCTTGTACCTGTAGACTTTAAGCAAAACAAAAAAACATTTTCAAGTATAATAGAGTTAGAATGTTTGAGAATTTCTGTCTTAGTTAACCGTTATTGTTTAAAATATCATTCTTGTTCTCCCCCTTTTTGTCAGCAATCAAAAAGTGTAGGTGAGTGCTAAAACAATTAAGATCAGAAAAACTTGTCATATTAAAAGGTTCAGAATCAAACAGAACATATTCAAATAGTACATCAGAAAATCAAAGAAAACATGAAAAAGACATGAATGAAAAAACTAAGGTTGGGGAGGAAAGCGTGTGAACAGGTTCTCCAGCATGGCTTTGATCTGATCAGCAGTCTCATTCTGCTTGTGCACCATGCTGACAACAGTGTCAATCTTGCTATCCTGCACATCCATTCTTTCTTTCATCTTCTGGTCGTTTTCATCCATCCTCTGCTGCAGACGCATGTCATTCAGCTTCAGCTCTTCCAGAGTCTGCCTGTCCAAAGCAGCTTGAGAAACATCAGAAGCAGGAAGCTTCTGAGATCTTTCTGCAACATCTTCTGCTTGACTTGATTTTTACCTTCTGATCAATAAAGTAGATCAGAAACTGCTGATCAACATTTATGTAATCAGGTGAACTAGTTGGCTTCCTATGGTTGAAGCACCCCAGAATTATCTTAGCCCAAACTCTGTGATGATCCTTCAGATCTTTGATCTTGCTGGCAGGCACCCCATGGGTGAAAATCCTTGCAGCTATCACGCCCACGTCAGCACATCTCTCAGCCATATCAACACAGTGGACGCCACCGCCACTGTAACCGATTAACCTTGCTATGTGATCCTCAGTGATCACAATCTTCTTCCCCATAACGAAGGAGGTGACTAGATGCGTTGAAGCCTTCGCATGAATCCAGAATTCCTTGACTAACATAGGGAATGTTGGTCCAACCAACCTGTCAAAATACCTTTCCCATTTCTGTGCCCTAACTTCTTCTGTTAGGTCAAAACCGTTCTCCTTCAAGCTTCCAAAATCAATGATCAATTCAGATAACACTTCAAGATTCTTCACAGGAGTGAGGAGTGTTCTGAATGGCACTTGATACTGTTCAGATGATACTTTCTTCTGAGGACCTGCAGAAGCACTGCTGGAGGTTGCCATGTTCACACTAAAAGATTTTGAGAAGAAACTGGGAAAAAGGGTTTTGCAAGAGATGAACACAGAAAAATGCAGAGAATGCTTGAGAATTAGTGAGAAACTGTAAAGAATTAGAATGAGCGGTTAATGTGTTTAAATAGAGTTTCAGAATATTTTGAAAAAATAAACGTTTTTAAGAAAGAGAAAAATCATGATTGCATTTTAAAAGCATGATTACTTTTATTAAATGCTTGCTGATTTTGGGGGATTTGAGAAAGATACTTAAAAACGGTTACCAGACATGTGTCTCAATGCACCCAATCAGCGTTTTGCCTTCTCAGAAGCGTGCACGCGTTCTGCTTCAGAGATTTGCTGATGATTGGATGACACTTGTTTGATGTAGTGATCAGCACGTCTGTCTTTGAGCTTAGACTCTCAGATCTTTAGACTTG